GTCCTGGTGGCTCCCTGCGCACGGGGCAGTCCTGTCCTGGTGGCTCCCTGCGCATGGGGCAGTCCTGTCCTGGTGGCTCCCTGCGCACGGGGCAGTCCTGTCCTGGTGGCTGAGTCCACGTAGAGGGGCTGGGAAGCTGAACTCTGGTGTCCGCAGATATTGTCAGCGGTGCTCACGTACTTACTTGGGAAGAATGGAGCTTGCACGTGGTCCTGGCCACTGCCTCTTCTCAATTAGATCCATAGAATCTCCACCCACATTCACGGTGAATCTCTCTCCCCACCCACCACTTTCCCATGTCAGTCCTTAGGAAATGCCCTCCAAAATTTACCCAGGGCTGTGCTTCGCCAGGCCTAGACATCTCTCAGTGGAATCATTTTGGTAATTAAGTTCAGCAGTCAGTCACTGTAGCTACAGCTGGCCTTTACCTCTCAATCCTCTCACCTGGGCTTTCCTAGATGCTGGTGTATGAACGTGCAGCATCATGTTTTGCTTAGGGAACTTGGGAAGGCTCTTTGTTATAAAACTGTCCTGATAAGGAACTCTTCATTAGGTAATAGATAGTCTAATTCCTGTGGGAGATAATAAGCCTTCTATATTGTAGCTCTCTCATTCTGTTTATCAGTTGATAATGATTTCTGCTGTTTAAAGGGACTCTCCTTTGCATTTGGGATTATGAAGGTAGTTTTATTGACTTCTTTATTTTCTAAGGCTGGGATTGTTTTCTTTCTTAGTGTAAAAAGTCTTAAGTTGATTATAATTGAAATTAGCAAAATCTTAACCTAAAAAAGAAGGTGAGGATTATGAGCCATATGTACAACCTTCCGGTTTTAGCAAACTGTTGGCCTGCTTTCTTATATTTCAGATTATCTAATTAAGCAATTTTGTCCTCTGGTTTTAATTTTTGTTACAGCAGTTTCAGAGAAAGGGGGTGCTTTATCAGCCATTAGACTGTGTGTTAAATTTGGTTTTAAGATAGCCCAAATTAACATATTTTAAAAGTATTATACTATTACCATCCTAACAAGGTGTTTGCAGTATGTTTGGTAAAGCAGTTTGCCCTTCTCGTCTAAGTTACCATCTTGTGAAAGAGGCATGAACTGTAGAAGAAATGCAGTCAGCCATTAAATGAGTCGGCTTTTGATTAGGTGGCTTTATATGATTTTTGTCATTCTCACAGAAAACCCATAGGATTAGATTGTTAGATTTGTTTTCCTTACCAGAAAGCTGAGGCTAGGTGACCTGTCTGGCACCAGACTCCAGGGTGGTTGCCTTTGACCACTAATTAGGCTGGACCGCTTCCTGCAGGACCGCACATCCGCCGACAGAACCGTGTAGCTGCACGGTACATTCTCTCTGTCAGGTGTGTGAAGAAGAAGAAGAGTGATCAGTCTGAGCCAGGATACAGGGAAAGAAGAAATGGGGTGTGCTGGACTGCATGTATAAAGTGTCGACCTTTTAAAGAGGGCAGTATAGACCTAAAGCTGTACACATTCTCTGATATTCTTTCTGCATTTAGGAATTATCCTGTGTAGCTAAACACACAAAAAAGCAGGAAGATACACAGTGACATTTTTTTAATTACTTGCTTATAGCTAGAAATTGAACATAAGTGTCTGTTAGTGCCCAGGGTTAACTAAGTAGCAGGAAGCCATCAAATGGAAGTTAGGGACATGAGACCTTTGTGAGAACGGTCTGCTCTGGTAACCTCCTGTGTCCACAACCTTTGGTCTCAAGGTGTATTTCAGCAGACTGTCTTTTGATCATTAACAAAATGCCTGGGCAGCGGGGACACTCACAGCTCCAGGTTTTATCAGCAGCATGACTCTGCCTCAGTTGTGCCTCAGTTTCTTCAGTAGAACTAAGGTAAGAGTAGAAGCCAGCCACTTGGACTGTGAGGTGAGGCCCGCGTGGGTCGGTGAGGTGCTAGACACAGTAGATGGTGAATCCGAGCAGCTGTCGTCTCTCTGGAGGGCAGAAGACAGGAACTGCAGTTCTCTTTCTGTCTTTCATGTGTTGAATTTTGAAATAGTATGTGCTGACCTTGGAAACAATGGGGTAGGGGGAGACTTTAATACCAGTACTCAGGAGGCAGAGGCAGGTGGATCTCTGAGTTTGAGGCCAACCTGGACTAGAGAGTGAGTTCCAGGACACCCAGGGCTGTAGAGAGAAACCCTGTCTCCAAAAAAAGGAAGAGAAAAGAAAAAGAAAAAATCAAAAGAAGTCCTTTTAGTCTGCTTACAAGCAGAAAATGCCCAATTATTTAGAGCATTTATTTTAAATTTCTCACTAAGCATTCCCTTTGAAAACTATCTCTAATCATATACCTTGGTATTTTACCCCATCTCCTATTCCACATTTAAGGAAATTGAAGTCAAATTTTATTTTTTGGCTAGAAGGCAAGCTTAATCATAACACATTCTTCCTGGAAAAACTGCTTTAATTTGCGGCTGCAATGACAGGCTAGAGTGTGACGTCAGTGTGGTGTCAGACTTCAGAGTGGCAGGCCAGCCTGAAAGCCACAGTGCATTTCCTTGGTGTTTGGTCCTCACAGGACTCACTGAGAGCCTCTCAGAGACAAAGGCGTTGAGGCTGTTTCCATCCCGGGTCCGTCCTCTGTGCTGTTCTGAGTGTCTCGAAGGAGGTGAGTGACTGTCTGTCCTTCTTGGTGCTAGCTTCACCATGCTCTCAGTGACTGGTCTGTAATGAGCACTCTGCACCGGTCGGTGCTGCGCAGGTACCCAGTGCAGAGGGTTTTCGTATCCTAATACTTCTAAACTGTTAAAGTCATGTGAATATGTTTATCTGGTTTATACACAATTTGGCCATTTTAAGAAATCAGTGTCAGAAATGCCTTCCTCTTTGTCCTTAACTTTCAGCTATGTTAATATATAGTAGACATGACTTACTTTAAAGCCAAGATTTTTTAAAACAAATCTCAGTTTACCTTACTTAATTTTTTAACCTACCCAGATGAGAAGTTGGATACACATGCCTCAAAATTAGATTAATAATTCTTCAGATATTCTTATGGAAAATATAGACAATACTGATGTTTAAAAAAATTAGTGTAGCTTAAATTAACAGTTTAAATTTCCTTTGTTTCTCTAATCTGGGTTTTGGTTCTGTGATGTGATTCAAAGTAGGAATCCTTACTAACCTAAACTTTAAGAACAAAATCCTAGCAGAACATGTTACATTAGAGACAGTATGTTTTTGCACTGGAAGAAGTTTTAGGAACATAAGTTGTTGAAGCCAACAAATGTGACTTTAAGAATTTACTCTTACTTGCAATACCAATTCATGTTTCTTGGAATTACAATATAAATGTATTTCGTTGGAAAGCATGATATAAGAAAGTTACATTGTCTGAGCCTCCTTTTATTTTTGAAAAGCTCTTTTACTTACAATTTCCTTGCTTTGCTTTATGGATACATTGTTTATGTTGTAGGTACTGGAGCTTCTAAAGTCTTCCTTAGCGATGTTTATGGCTTTAAGCTTTTCATGAAGGTTCAGCAGCGGTTTTGATTCCAACTTAAGAATAGATGATTTATATGAGGAAAGGGCAATAATTCCTAATAAGTGTTTTTGTCTCAATTTTTATAACAAATAGGAATGATTTATTATACATGTTATTATGTGAATAATTATTTTTGTCATTATATAAGATTTCAAATTTAAGGGCTAGGTTGCTACCTTACGACTTGCAGCGTAGTATACTTTACTTACATATTTGGAAGTATAGAAACAGGGCTTCATGTTCGTTCTATTGAACTTGACAGCGTTAAGATTCACAGTTTTTCCCTGAAGTTGCTGAGTTCTCAGCTTCTACCTAGGACTTAGCCCAAAGCTAGAAAATTCAAGAAGCACTGTGTATGGAAAAGACAGGGGTATTTCTAGTCCCTTTAAAAATTTATCATGAATTCACTTAAAATATTTGACCGTGTTTTTAAGTCTGTGTTTTAAACCGAAGCAGTGCGTTGCCATGGTATGGTGCCTTGGAACAGATGAGGCACACACAGCTCAGACAAAGACGGTTTTGAGGCATTATGACATCAGAGGTCACTGGCTGCCACCAAAGTTCAAGTGAGAAGGGTCTGCTGAACTTCTTTTTGAATGAACAGGAAATTAAATCCAACAGAAGGATGGTAAGCATAGCTGTAGGGAGATGACTCGCTATGGACCGACAAGATTCCCTGGCTCTAAAGTAGTAGAAGATAGTTAGTTATACTTGGAAAGACATTAGTGTGGTAACTCAGATGCTGTCTCAGCCCTTTCCAGGCTTCAACTCTATATTTTGTTCTCTTGTGGTAAGCAGAACAACACGTTGGGCATATGAGATGCTCGAGCATGTCAGCATGAGTAAGTAAAGTTACAAAGCAAGTTAAGTGAGAGAAAAGAATCTCTGTATTTGAGAGATTCCCATCTTACTGCAAAGGTCAAAAGCCTGACCCTCAGGGCTAGCCAGCTGAGGACGTTCCACACCAGCCGCTTGTAGGAGTCAGTGTCTCCAGACACAGGGCCCACACTTCCGCCCTCGTGGCTGGTTGTTCCCACTCTGTTCATCTCCGAGAGGAAGTGGGCCTCACTCAGCTCTTGCCCTGGGCACCTGGCGGCGATTGGTTGGTGACTAAACTGGACCGGAAGTGCTAGGGAAACTTGACTCTGCTGCCCATATTTGGTATCTATCTCTGTTACTCTTTATCGTCGTGTGCTTGCTTATGTCTGAGGCTGTGCGGCCAGGGCTCGATTGACTGGATGGAAAGCTCCTGCAGCACAAAGAATGATGCATCCATTTTGGAAGGAGGTTGATCTTGTTTCACATGGGCGTTATTTGACTAAAGCTCACGAGAAAATTGTTTCAATACAGCTCGTGTAGTTTTCTAAAAATAAGTAAGCACTGGGGAGTGAAAAATGAGTAAATTAAGACGCTGGAGAGTTGGCTCAGTGGTTAAGAGCACCTGCCGCTTTTCCGGAGGACGCAGGTTCAGTTCTCCACATCTGCATGGCACCTCACAGCCAACTATAACTCCAGTTCCAAGGTGTGCAGCTCCGCTTTCTGGCCTCCTCAGGAACTGCATGTACACGGTGCACCTAAATACTTGCAGACAAAAAAAAAAAACGTGCACATGAAATTTAAAAATAAAATATTTTTAAAAGAATAGTAAATTAAATCATTAACATCTTTCTATTTGAAATGTATTGTTTACTTGGCTCTTAAATTTGACTCTTCAGAATGCTTCCTTCCCGACAAAACAGTTGGGGTGCTTTAAACTGTGTGGTTAATGTGTAGGGTAGAGTTGGGTTGTGTGTCTAGAGTGACAGCCTAAGATCTAAGGCTTGAACTTGTTTTTTTTCTAGTTTGCTGTTTGCTTCTTTCCCAGTGGTACAGTAGATGTCTATTTAATCGATGTTACTAGGGACTGTTACTAATTAGCATTCATTAGGGAGTGGTAGAGTTGTCTGAATTCATGAAATTATAGGTTATATATTTTTAAATGCCACATTCTTGCTTTTAAATGACAAATAGAATATTGTTGTATGTTTCTAGTTGAGGTTCTAAGTTTTGTGACAATATTTTTTGTACAAATTTCTTTGCCATATTTAAAATAGTCCTTTAAACCATCGTAATATACCCTGTAATCATTTTTACTCTGCTGCGTGGCTTTGTATGGGCTTTTCCACTCCAGGCCAACAATAGCTTCTAAGCATGGACCATATTCCTTGTCCAGCAAACTGTAGTTGTCTGTGCCGTTTTATTTCATCTTAAACATGATGCAGGTGGCCATATTCTTTTAAATCAAGGAAACACCTGGTTGTGTTTGTCTTTAGTAACTAATTCTTCTAGCACATTCTAGTTCAACCACTATTTGGTAAGGCATACTCATTAATATGCCTTGATGCTACCAAACACTCTATCCTTCCAATTATATGTTTTGTTATTTTTCTTTGGTGCACATTTTACATGAAGAAGTAGTTACATTGATATAGATTAAAGAGCTTTCTAAAATGTCTCAGGATCAGAAAAACATGTGTCTGTAACAGGCACAGAAATGTATTTGGTAATTTGCAATGGAAACTTAAGATGTAGAAGTGCCCTGAATTTGGCACTCCAGCGGCCTTAGCTCAGCGTCGAGCTGCTCTGCTCATGTGCTCATGTGCTGACTCCAGCACCAGCACCGCCCACCTTCCCAGGATGCACAGCTGCAGTGCTCCAGTGTCCGAGGTGGTGCAGGCTGTCTGCTCTCAGGGGATAAGTTCTACCCATTCCCAGAAACAGCATGGCTTCCGTTTTTTATACTTGGCAGACAGTCACCCTATTTTGTTTTGTTTGTTTGTTTTTGTTTTTCCTGATTTTTCAAGACAGAGTTTCTCCGTAGCTTTGGAGCCTGTCCTAGAAGTAGCTCTTGTAGACCACGCTGGCCTCAAACTCACAGAGATCTGCCTGCCTCTGCTTCCCAAGTGCCGGGATTAAAGGGTGCGTCACCACAACCCAGCCATCCTAAATTTTTACGCACATCTTAAATTCATATTTCTGTCTTGACCGTACAATGCTAGCTTTTCTTTTCATTGAGACAAGCATCCCAGCCAGGTGGTAATAACACACAGCTTTAATCCCAGCACTGGGGAGGCTACACAGAGAAACCCTGTCTGGGGTGGAAGGGTAAACCTCCTAAGTTGCACTCATAACTAGTTGTCTATGGGTAAAAGGATGTGTTAGAATTATTTTAGTCTCCTTTTTTTTTTTTGCCTTTAATTTACCAAGTGCTCCGACATATAACCCTGTCGTGATTCTCAGGTGAATGTGACAGGAACATTTTGTCTTTAACTAACATAGTGCTAATTGAATTATCCTTGAGTTACCTCAGAATTATTTAAAATCTATTGCAAATGTTCCTTTTTATAGGTATATGTAATGTAAATGCTATTTTTATTTTTAAGAGCTTTTTCTGAGGGCAGTTTATACTCTGTCTGGGGTGTGTGCTCTTGGGTTCTGCGTTGCTGTTCTAGTCCGTGAGGAGACTTTCAGCCTTCTGCTTGGCTCCTTACAGCCGGCTCACGTTTTCCCACCCAGCTTTCAGCCCCTTTCCTGAGTTAGGCCAAACCAGTTCCTGTTGGTGTGATGCATGCCTCGGAGTTGGTGGCATTTGTACTCTGGTACCTGTGATAGGAGACTGTGACATAACATTTCTAAATCTGCTGTGGTGATAGTTTTTATTGGAACAGCTGACTAAGAGAGGAAAATGGCTACAAAGCTTGACAGCATAGCCAGACGGGAAGGCATTGAATGTAAATCAGACGGGAATCGGAGATTTCATGATAGCTGCAGATGGACGTGCTGCTGTGTGAGGCTGGTGGCGGGGCCCGGGAGAGCCCCTAGCAAAGCTGGGTCCTAGCTGCTGTGTGAGGCTGGTGGCGGGGCCCGGGGGAGCCCCTAGCAAAGCTGGGTCCTAGCTGCTGTGTGAGGCTGGAGGTGGGGCCCGGGGGAGCCCCTAGCAAAGCTGGGTCCTAGTCTGCACTCCTGTCCCTGGGGAAGGAACGGACTTCTGAGCAAATTGTGCTGCTGCCTGCTCTGGGTGCCATCGCAGCAGACGGTGAGGGCAGGACCACAGGACGGAGGAAGCTGTAGAAAGGATGTGGCCATCTGAGGGAAGGCAGCCGTGCCGGTGGGTCAGCCTATGCAGTGTAACTAAGGACCCCTCTCCAAGCGCAGGTCCCCAGTACAGCAAGACAGCAGTGCTGTCGCTGTGAGACTGACCAGTGACCGCTGTGTGTCCTGCTGGGAAAGAGCCGGGTGAGGTTCTCACGCACTTGGTCTCCCTCCTCTCTCCCAAGATGTCAGAGGTGATCTCTTTCCTAAATGCAGGGAGAGGAGTGGAAAATAAAGGGTTAAGCCCCAAGGAGCCCTGCATGGCAGGTAAATGAGTCCCTGAGGTTAGCACATGCCTGGAAGTGCTTAGAGCTGAATTAAAGGAAATGTGGATATGCTTCGTGTGTTTTTAAACAGTCACATACTTCGCATTGCTAACCGTGTGGTTGCTTTCCCACATAACCAAGGCCGAAGAATTGGATTTCTCAAGAAAGTCAGGGTACTTCTTTTTCTTTTTTTTTTTTCTGTTCTGTTCCTAAAATTTTGAGTTTAATTGTAGTCCCAGTCTCTTATGCCAGCTTATTTTTAGTCTGTAAATAAGTTGGTAAAACAGTCATTGTGATGGACAGATTTCAAAATAATATTTCCCTCCTGTTTGTTAATGAAAATAAATAGTTTGCTATATAAAGCATTAGTGGATTTTTCCACTTAATAATAATATATTGTCTTGAGCCAGTGTTGAATTCATGAATTTAATAACTAACTAGCTGCTTGTCAATGATGGCGGTTACTGTGTGATCTCTCTTAACTTCAGAGCAAGCCAGAGAATATGACTGCCTTGCGGTGTGTGTAACGGCCTTGAGCTGTCAACTGAACTTGAGCAGTACATGAGCTCTGGTGCCCTCTCTGCCGCATAGACGTGTGTATAAAATGGGCTGCACGCACACGTCTGGGCTGCTGGCTGCAGGCTTCTCCCTGCCTGGGAGGAGCACAGCGGCTTCCACGGTTCCCACAGGCCTCTCCTCCTGCTCTCCTGTCGCAGGTATATGGTGACCTGCGGGTCAGGCTCCTGAAGCAACGCGAGGCTGGCTTTGCTAGTGGTTGCCAAGATTTAGCAGGCTGCAGCTGCCAAGCCTCACTGTGCAGCCCTGTTTTGCTTTCACTAAATCAAATCCTTTCTCTCTGCCTTGAGATGATTCATAGGTCATGTGGACTCACGTCTTAGCCTAACGAGACAAACAAGATCTTTGGGGCAGTTTTCTAAAACATATACTTTTTTTTTTTTCTTAATGGTTGTATTTCCAGCTTTGTTGCCAGTTACATTAAAACACCATCGCCCAATAAGCTTAGAGTCTATCATTACAAAGATCACATTAGCTGTTATTGGCAGCGTGGTAGCAATGGTTTCACTATCTGCTGTAGTCA